ATTTTTGCCCTTTTCCCACAATCCTTGATTCCCAAATGATCATGAATTGTCTTTGGTGGCCTGGTTAAGATTTATCTCCAGTAAGCATTACAAAAACATTTTTTTTCTGATCATCATCGCATTGCTGTTTATACAAGTTTGCTGTGCACATATCGGCTACCACGTTTTCTCCATCTTCACAGATTCATAGAATACCCACTGTGCGGAAAGAGGCCATTTGGCCTATTGAGTCTGCACCGACCCTCCGAAGAGCATTCCCCCCCAGATCCAGACTCCCCACATCATCTCCATAAATCTGCATTTAACATGGCCAATTCACCTAACCTGCACATCTTTGGACTGTGGAAGGAAACTGAAGCATCTGGTGGAAATCCATGCAGACATGAGAACAACGAGCAGACTGCACACAGACAGTCACCCATGGGTGGAATTTGACCCCGGGTCCCTGCTCTGTGTGGCGGCAGTGCTAACCACTGAGCCACTGTGCCATCTTTTGGTGGTTACACTTGGTGATTACACGCCCTGAAGTGATTACACTTCAATAAGTACACCATTGTCAGTAAAGCACTTCGCGATGTCCAAGAATGATGAAAATAATATATAAATGTAATTTTACCCTTTTATATGATCAGATTCACAGGCCTGATGTGCTGAATTTTTCACCCTATTTCTTTTCTGACTTTCTCTCTTACTTAAGCTGATACTTCAGTGTATTCCTGTTGAGGCTGCTGTCTTTTGGCTAATACGTTAAGTTGAAGCCTCATCTGCATTCTCTAGTGGATGCAACGTATGGTATAATTAATGTGGTATGATTTGTTGAAGGATAGGGAAGTGTTTTCAAGTCCTGGTTAACATTTATGCCTTAACCAACATCACTAAAACAGATTATCTAGTTGTTTTATTTCAGTGGCTGCCACATTTGTGCACATTACACCAGTAATTAAATTTCAAATGTACTGAATTGGCTGTAAAGTGCTTTTGACTGCAGAAGGATGTGAAAGTGTTGTCAAATATAAATTCTTCTTTAAATTCCAACCTTTTTGGCAAAACTTTTCTTTATTGTTTCTATTATCTACTTTGTTTCACTGCTAATCCTTTTATTATTATTATGCCTATATGAAATATTTGGAATATTATAGCTGTAATATGCAATTTGTAATTGCAACAGCGTTGTGCATGCTACCAGGATCAGCAGACGGGCTCTATCTTTGTCTAATATCGTTAGTTTATATATGTAATTTCTCTCAATGATCTGCTTGTTTAAGTAAACATTGAGTTTAAACATTTTTGACACCAGTGCTTCTAGTACAGATGGGAGTTTAGGACTGTGAAAGAACATGCCATTTGCATGGGATTTCTTGGCTTTCCCTTGCACATCATCAAGTTTCTTAAGAATAATTTTCAGAACGATATAGGAATCGAAGTAAATGAGTGTGAAGGATGAGAGCAGATATTTAAAAATCCTTTTGAGGACGACAGTATCTTAAACCATACAATTTCTATCTGTTAAAATGTAAAATATACTTTTAATAAACATGCACCAAGCATAAATAGATTGGATACAGCATGTAAAACTAAAACCTATAAATTAATATATTTAATTAGATGATGAATAAAATTTGAATTAATTTTAAGCTCATATGTTGTTCCATATTCTTATTTTAGAACTGAAATAAGTGACTGAACATGCCCAAATGGTCCATCTGTTCGAGTGGATTACTGCACGTTTCAAATGGTCAGTGTACTGATATGGACTGTATGCCTTTAAAATCATTAGAAATGACATCTGTGGAGAGGTTTGAATTGCTGCGATAAATTTAAGTAGTTTTGAAGATCTGCTTGACTACCTTTTGTAGATAAGAAATAAATTTTGCAGTATTTTCCTTTGGTTCATTCGTTAGGTGATGTTGAACCAAATGTGATACTTGGTGCTTGATTGGGAGCAGTATATTGATTTTGGTTAATGTTCATATAAGTGCACAGTTGTTTACATGAATGGACCATCATTATCCTTATCCTTCAATGCAAAAAGACATGTTTGCTCGTTTTACCAGGATTGCTGATTTTCCCACCCAATGGGCATGAGTCAAAATAGGTTTACCACATGCAGCAGTCCATTGCTGTTAGCCGCCTCTTAGCCTCATCCTTGAATGCATCATTGTCCAGGAAACCAACCAAGAGGGTGTAAAACTCAGTTGTTAAGTGTCAATACAATGCTGTCCCATCCTGGCCCACAGTTGCAGCAATGTCTAGTTTTTGCACTTGTATGACCATGTCACGATGATGGTTAGCTCTTTCAAGAATAGGATTCTGTTTCCACTCTGAATGTACTGCCTTGCGTTACATGCTAGCTTGCCCTGTGGGGAGGAAATGGAAAGAGATCATGTGGGGTGCCTCCCATGTGCTATTCTTGTAGATTTGACAAGTTTCTGTTGCATGGAGCCCTTGCCCTTAACATCATTAGCAGCAGCTCCTTCCTTTCCTCCATCCTGTTGAAAAGGACCTGCAAGTTCTGTCCTCAAAGTTATGTCTTCCCATTATTATTTATTACAGGATTTCACAAATTTAAAATTAACTTTTGCAGGTTGATTTAAGATGGGTTTATAAGATACCATTCTGTGATACAATTCAATCCAAGATATGACATCTGATCTCTGCTTTTTATTGGCATATTGGCCTGTAGGCTAAGTCATAGGCTGTACCATCCATGAAGTCTTTAATTCATCATTGATTATTAATGTATCAAAGTCCACATTCCAGAAAGCTGCTGTAGAATGTAATGTAATAAGAATGATATGTTGAACCCTCTGTGCCAGATATGGTGTTCCAGAAAGTTATTTTTAAGATAGGCAAATTTAAAAAAAAAACACTATTCTTCTAATCAACTTGTTCAATGATACTATTTCACACTTTTGGAGCAGGTCGGACTTGAACCCAGGTCTCTTGGTTCTTGGGTAGGGACGTTACCACTGCACCGCAAGAGGGCACCATATTGTTCAACATTTGTGTGAGTTGCAGCTACAGCTGCAGAGAAAGAGCTAATATATAATAGGCAGTAAAACTGATCTGATAACTAGCTGGAGAATTAAATTCTTCAGAAATTATGGATCTCTGTATGAGCTCAACTGTAATCACAACTTTTTACGCAGGACTGCAAGTATATACTAACTAGTTCATAGAAGATTTTATTGATTTATGCCAACCATTTCCAGGTTTCAAAGAATCTAATATATTATTATCCCTACTGTGGTACCTCCTGCAAGTTGAATTTCAGTTATGATTGTGTAGTTATAATATAACCTCTTGTATGGCAGATGTCGGGTAGGACGGAAAAGCAATTCATTTCCTTATACTGTTTCTTGTAGAGCAGATTGTGGTTGCCTGAAAAGCTTTCAAAAGATCTTTGTTCATTCTTGCTTCCAAAGTGATTTCACATTAATAGTGCTGTCAATATGAGCACAGTACTAAGTAACCCCATTGGACATTGAAGTTTAAAACATTTGTGAAGAATAATGACACCAATATAAAAATATGAAAAAGTAGGTACTAAGCTGTCCTGGAGCAATGTTTTTAGAGCAGTAAGACTGTGCTATTTTCTGGGTCTGTAGATTCTTAATGTACAAAGATGGCCTTTAGTAGAGTGATGTGCTCTTCCTGTTGGATGTAGGAGATCAGGGAAAGTTTCCATGTTACTGATGATTACATCTGCAGAAAGTGCATGGATTGGTTGGAGTGGCAGTTAGAGGCAATGAGGAGTTTACAGGAGCAAGAGGGTGTGATGGATGGCAGTTGCAGGGAGGGAGATAAACCAAAGATTCAGCCAGGTAGGTGGGTGACTTCCAGGAAAGGTAGGAGGGATAGGCAGGTAATGCAGGAGTCTCCTGTGGCTGTCTCCATCTCAAACAGGTATGCTATTTTGGAAAATGTAGGGGTGAAGGACTCTCAGGGGAATGTAGCACTGACAGCCAGGTTTCTGGTCCTGAGACTGGCTCTAATGTAAAGGGGGTTAAGCCAAGTTCTAAGTAATTGATTCTGATAGGGGACTGTCTAGTCAGAGACACAGACAGATGATTCTGTGGCCAACAGCGAAACATCAGAATGTTGTGTTGCCTCCCTGGTGCCAGGATCAAAGATAGCTCGGGAGAGGGTACAGAATGGGAGGATTTAAACTAGTGAGCGTGGTGTGGACTCGGGGAGATAGTGAAGAAAAGATTAGTCTGAGACTGGTACAGTTGTGAAAAGGTGTAAGTCAAACAAATAGGGCAGGCAGGAACAAAGTAGAGAATGAAGTAGGACTGATAAATTAAACTACAATTGTTTCAATGCAAGAGGCCTACCAAGTAAAGCAGATGAGCTCAGGGCCTGGTTGGAATGTGAGACTGGGATATCATGGCAATTACAGAGATGTGCTTCCGGAGGGACAGGACTGGCAACTTAATGTTCCAGGGTATAGATGCTATATGAAGGATTGAAAGGGGTCAAGAGAGAAGGTGGGGGAGGGAACTGTCATTTTTGATTGGGGATAACATTACGGCTGTACTTGAGGAGGATATGCCTAAGAATATGTCCGGGGAAGTTATTTGTGTGGAACTGAGAAATAAAAATGGGATGATCACCTTTTTAGGATTATACTGTAGACCTCCAAATAGCGAGCAGGAAATTGAGAAGCAAATTTGTAAGGAGATCTTAGTTATCAGTAAGAATTATAGGATGGTTATGGTAGGGGATTTTAACTTTCCAAACATAGACTGGGACTGCCATGGTGTTAAGGGCTTAGATGGAGAAGAATTTGTTAAGTATGTACAAGAAAATTTTCTGATTCCGTATTTGGATGTATTTGCTAAAGAAGGTGCAGAATTTGACCTACTGTTGTTAAATAAGGCAGGGCAGGTGACTGAGGTGTCAGTGGGGGAGCACTTTGGGGCCAGTGACCATAATTCTATTAGTTTTAAAATAGAGATGGAAAAGGATAGACCGGATCTAAAAGTTAAAGTTCTAACTTGGAGAAAGGCCAACTTTGATAGTATTAATCAAGAGCTTTCAAAAGTTGATTGGGGGCAGATGTTCGTAGGTGAGGGGATGGCTGGAAAATGGGAAGCGTTCAAAAATGAGATAGCAAGAGTCCAGACAGAGTATGTTCATTGGATAAACATATGGATGATAATGGAATAGTTTAGGATAGATGGGCTTCAGATTGGTTTCACAGGTCGGCGCAACATCGAGGGCCGAAGGGCCTGTACTGCGCTGTAATGTTCTATGTTCTATGTTCTATGTTCCTTACAGATCAGCAGGGCCATCTATGTGTTGAACTGGAGGAGATGGGGGAGATGCTAAATGAGTATTTTGCATCAGTGTTTACTGTGGAGAAGGATATAGAAGATATCCAATTGAACCTGCCTCAACCATTCCCCCAGGCACTGTATTCCAGATCTTAACAACTAGTTATTTTGCCAACAACGTTAAATCAATTGCCTCTGGTTCACAATCATTCTGCCAGTGAGAAAGTTTCTCTCCATTTAGTCTGTTTAGACCCCCCAATTTTAAGCACCTTTCTTAGATCCTCTCAACTTTCCTGTCTCTGTGGGCAACAACATCAGCCCATGGGCAAATAAATAGCTACCTCTTGGAAAATGTCAATATTACAAAGGAGAAGGTGCTAGATTTTGTAAAATGCATAAAGGTGGATAAGTCCCTGGCACCTGATCAGGTGTACCCTTGGGAAGCTAGGGAAGTGATTGTTGTGCCCCTTGCTAAGATGTTTGTATCATTGATAGCCACAGGCGATGTGCCGGAAGACTGGAGGTTGGCTAACGTTAACCACTATTTTTGAAAGGTGGTAAGAAAAAGCCAGGGAACTATAGGCCAGTGACCCTGACATTGGTGGTGGGCAAGTTGTTGGAGGGAATCCTGAGGAACAGGATTTACATGTATTTGGAAAGACAAGGACTGATTAGGGATAGTCAACATGGCTTTGTGTGTGAGAAATCATGTATCAATAACTTAATGAGTTTTTTGAACAAGTAAAGAAGAGGATTGAGGAGGGCAGAGCAGTGGATGTGATCTATATGGACTTCAGTAAGCGTTCGACAAGGTTCCTCATGGTAGACTGATTAGCAAGATTAGATCACGCTGAATAGAGGGAGAACTAGCTGTTTGGATACAGAACTGGCTCGAAGGTAGATAGAGGGTGATGGTGGACGGTTGCTTTTCAGACTGGAGGCTTGTGATGTGTTGTGCCACAAGGATTGGTGCTGGGTCCACTCTTTCATCATTTATATAAATGATTTGGATGTGAACATAGGAGGGATGGTTATTAAGTTTACAGATGACACCAAAATTGGAGGTGTAGTGGACAGCAAAGAAGGTTACCTCAGAGTACAATGGGATCTTGATCAGATGGGCCATTGGGCTGATGAGTGGCAGATGGGGTTTAATTTAGATAAATGAGAGGTGCTGCATTTTGGAAAGACAAATCAGGGCAGGACATATACACTTAATTGTAAGGTCCTGGGGAGTGTTGCTGAGCAAAGAGACTGGAGTGCAGGTTCACAGTTCCTTGAAAGTAAAGTCGCAGGTAGATAGGATAGTGAAGAAGGTGTTTGGTATGCTTACTTTTATTGGTCAGTCCATTGAGTATAGGAGTTGGGAGGCCATGCTGCGGCTGTACAGGACATTGGTCAGGCTACTATTGGAATACTGTGTGTAATTCTGGTCTCCCTGCTATAGGAAGGAGAT